GGGTGGGCCGCCCCCCCAGCCCCCAGCCCGCCCCAGCCCGGGCCCCCAGCCCCCCCCCCCCCCCCCGGCCGCACCTGGGTGACCAGCACGGGGGAGTAGTTGCCGGCGCACTTGGTGCCGCCCATGCCGCCGGGCGCGGAGCGGTGGAAGCGCGTCTCCACCAGCAGGTCGATGGGGGTCAGCTGGCCTCCCTTGAAGTACGATCCCACGGAGGCGCAGTAGACGACAAGGGTGTAGGAGGGGGCGGGGCCCAGGCCCAGGATGGGGCCGCTGCCCACCAGCAGGGGCCGCAGGTACAGCGAGCCCTTGCCCTGGGGCGGCACAAAGTCGGCGTTGGCGGCCACGGTCTGCGGCGGCGGCGGCGGGGTGTGCGCGTGCCTATCTCAGTGTGGTGTGGTGTGTGCCTATGTTTGCGTGTGCGCGTGTGTGTGTGAAGGTGTGGTGGGCAGGGATGAAGCCGCCCACGCCTGCCACGCCCCCAGACCAGCCACGCGCGCCCCCTTCCCCCAGGCACACCTGCGTCACCGCCTCAACAAACAGCTCCGGCGGCGGCGGGATCATGGACAGCCGCGCCGCGCCCTCAGCCATGCGCCCCGCGTTGGCGTCGGGCCGGAACAGGACGATACGGTCCTGCGGGGAAGGGTGGGCAGAGGGAGGAGGGGACGGAGGGTGGGACAGCGGGGAGGGGCCAGGCAGGCAAGGCGCGAGACAGCGGGGAAGGGCCGGGGGGGAGGAAGAGGGAGAGGGTGAGCGGGCGTGCCGCCTGCCAGGGCCGGCCCGGCGCCATGACCAGCAGCGGCAGCCCGCGGCGCAGCCTGGCGGGCCCCCACCTTGGCGCTGCGTTGCGCCTTCATGCCCTCAAACACCGCCTGCCCATAGTTGAGCGCCTGGGCCGAGGGGAACATGGGCAGGGGGCCGTACGGCTGCAGCTCGCCCTTGCTCCACTGCCCATCCTCAGCACTGCACGTGGCCATCCACATCGTCTGCGGGTGGCGGCGGGCGGCGGCGGGCCGGGGCGGGGTGGGGGCGCGGCATGAGCGGGCGGTGCACGGCGACAAGGCCAACACAAGCAGGCGTGCCACACGGGTGCAGGCGCGACCGCCGCATCTGCGCGTCTGGATGTCGCACGCCGGCAGGCAGGCTGTCCCCCTCCACCACAAGGGCAGCAGCAGCATCAGCACTGGAACAAAAATGGCGCAAGTGCAGGGGCCAAGCTGGCCCCCTGCCCTCCACCGCAAGGGCAGCGGCAGTGCCAGGCCTGGCGGCGCCGCACCGAGCCGACGTGGGTGAGGCCAAAGCCCAGCGAGTCCCAGTCAAACTCGGTGGCCCGCTCAGCCGTCGCCTGCTCGGCGCGGGCCAGAAGCCGCTGCTGCTGCCGCCGCTGCGTGGGTAGCCTGCAGCAGGGGGAGCAGAGGTGGCTGGATTGGGGCCAGTGGTGTGGGGCCTGGCGTGCTGCTTCCCCTTGGGCAATGCGTCTGCACATTGCCTCTGGGCAGTGCGCTCCCCAGAGGCGCCAGGTGGCTGCGGGCACCGCCGCCGCCGCCAGAGTTCTGCCCCTCGTCACCCCCTGCTCACCGCGCTCCGCCATGACACTGCTGCAGTCGAGAGGAGGACCTGCAGGCGGCAGCAGCACCTCCAGTGAGCCCCATATGCAAGTCCCGAGGCATCGCTGTGCTGCACCCTGCACAGCCCAGGCCGAGGCTCACCGCTGGTGCTGCAGTGCAGCTGGTAGCTGCCTGCACTGCGCTGTCAGGCTCATGCTGTTCACGCCGCCGCACTCCACTGGCCGGAGATGCCGCAGGGGTTGGGGTGCAGGTTTGACAGCACTTGCTTGGACCGGGTCTCGAGTGGCTCACTGCTGAAAGGCGGAGCGGGTGGAAGGCAGCCCCAGCAGTGCACCCCTCATCCCGATTGGGCGAAGCGCATTCGCCCATCCCACACCTTCGATTGCTTTTTATCAGTGAGGTCTGCTTCCAAAGACGCCAGGAGCCCCAGCAGCCCAACACCACACCTACACATGGCGCTATCCGCTCGGGCGCCTGTGGCGGCAGCGTGCCAGGCAGCGGGGTATGGGGGCCGACAGATAGCTGCTCGCGTGGCGCAAGGCCGCGCCGCTGGCGTTTCCAGCAAGGCCAGCCCCGCACTGTCGGGCGGCGGCGGTGCCGCCGCGCTCGCCCCCCGCAGCAGCAGCCGCAGCAGCAGCCGCACAGTGCAGCGCCTCGCAGCTGCGCCCCCCACCGTGGCCGCGGCAGCCCCCGGCAGCGCCGGCACGGTGGCAGTGGCGGGGGCCACGGGGCTGGTGGGCGGGGCGCTTGTGAAGCAGCTACTTGCAGAGGGGTATGCGGTGCGTGTGCTCACCCGCAACGTGGTGGCCGCCCGCGGCAAGCTGCCCTACCCCGGCCTCCAGTTTGTGGCGCCGGCGCAGTGGTCGGCGGCGGTGTGCGGCACCACGGCGGTCGTCAACCTGGCAGGTGGGCGGCGGCAAGCATTGCTGGCGGCGGTTGCGCCACCGCCGGGCCCATCATCCCGCGGCTCTGCTGGTGCCCACTCAAGGGCGATCCTCTCCCTGCTGCCTGCCTGCTGCCTGCCGCCACTTTCCTCACCCTGCTCCTTTCTTTCCTCCCTTGCTTTCCTCCCAGGCGAGCCCATCGCCACGCGGTGGACCTCCGCCATCAAGGCCGAGGTGAAGCGCTCGCGCGTCGCCGTCACCTCGCAGCTGGCAGCCGCCATCAACGCCTGCCCCTCGGAGCAGCGCCCCAAGGTGCTGGTCAACTCCTCGGCGGTGGGCTACTACGGAAACAGCGAGGTGAGCTCGCAGGCGGCGCCCCCGCCAGGTGGCATGCCGGTGGGTGGCGCTGCCACCTGTCTTGCATAGCGCTCCACCGCTCCGCTGGCCTCCCACCCAGCGCACCCCCCGCCTGCCCGCCGCCGCCCGTAGCTGCAGTCCCAGACCTTCAGCGAGGCCTCCCAGCCGGGGCGCGACTACCTGGCGGAGGTGTGCCGCGAGTGGGAGGCGGCTGCCGGCCAGGCGCAGACGCGCGTCGTGGTGCTGCGCACCGGCATCGTGCTGGCCAGGGAGGGCGGCGCGCTGGGGCGTATGGTGCCCGTGTTCCAGATCTTTGCGGGCGGGCCACTAGGCTCGGGGCGGCAGTGGTGCAGCTGGATCCACAGGTGGGGCGGCGGGGCTGTGGATGGGTGTTCGGCGCGCTTCGACGCATGCGCTTCTGCATGCGGTGCCTGGTGTGGAGAGGGCCATCCCAGGGCCTACCCCCAGCCCCCTGCCCTCACCCCTCGCCCCCGCCGCCGCAGGGACGACGTGACGGCCATGGTGCTGGAGGCCATCCGGAACGACAGCTGGCAGGGGGTGTACAACGCCACGGCGCCCAACCCGGTGCGCCGGCATGCGTGTGTCTAGTGCGTGTGTGTGTGTGAGGTGGCGCTCATCGTGGCTGTGGTCTGCGCTGGTGCGCCTTGCGGCAGCAAGAGCGGAGGGAGGAGGCTGAGCAAGAGCTGCATCCAGGCTGCTGCCACGGCCGTCAGCGTCAGGTGTGGGGCGTGATCGTGATCGTGCCTCCTGTGCCGCTCGCCCCCCTGCCCTCGCCGCGCAGGTGCGCATGGGCGAGCTGTGCTCAGCGCTGGGGTCGGTGATGGGGCGCCCCTCGCTGGTGCCCGTCCCCGACTTTGCGCTGCGCACGCTGCTGGGGGAGGGCGCCAGCGTGGTGCTGGAGGGGCAGCGCGTGGTGCCCACCCGCGCCCAGGACGCGGGCTTCAAGTTCAGGTACACCCAGGTGGGGGATGCGCTGCGCAACGTGCTGCGCGGCTGAGGCGGCGGCGGCAGCGGCGGCGGCAGTCCCATGCTGGCAGCTGGGCGGCTGCCCCCCAGCCCCAGCCAGGCAGGCAGCACGGCCCCGCCTCCCTCCCCTTTTTTTGGTCAATCAGAGAGCCAATGCATGAGCTGGATTCTGCTTGAATTTCATTCTGCCGTGAACTGCATTTCCTGCGCGCCGCTCAATGTTGAGTGAGAGACTGTTTTGCGCTCCCCGCACGACGTTTTGGCACCCCACCTGCAACACTGATCCTGGGCGCAAAAGATTCGGTGGTTGAGCAGTGGTGGGGAGCGTTAAAGAAGGAGGAAGCCAGCAAAGAGATGAAGCAGAGTGCCTGCCCCACCGCGCAGTCTAAAATGTGCGCTGCCGGGGAAGGGCCAGGCTGCGATGAGATTGTACCGAACATCATTCTGGCCAGCCCAAGGAGCCAAGCCGGCGCGCGCGGTCGCCGGGCCAAGCGCGGGGCGCTCGCCCGCGGCGGGGCAGGGGCTCACTGCGCGCTGGGGTTGATGCCCAGCAGCATGTTGGGGCCGCCCGATGGCAGGTACACCACGTTGCGCCCCTTGGACAGCGTGTTGGCGATGTCGCGGGCCGCCTCGATGCGGCGCAGCTCGATCAGGCCCATGCCCGCCGTCTTGGTGGCGTCACTGATCAGCTTGGCGGACTCGGACTCGCCCTCGGCGCGGATCACCGCCGCCTTGCGCTCCTGGTCGGCCTTCATGACCACAAACCGCGCCCGCTCCGCCTCCTGCTGCGCCACCTGCTTGCTCTCCACCGCCTTGGTGAACTCGGTGCCAAAGGAGAGGTGGGTGATGGCCTGCAGAGGGGTGGAAGGTGGGGGTGGAGGGGACCGCCACGCTGCTCACGAGCTCCGCCAGGCGACCCGCCTGCTCTGCGACCCGCCTGCATCATGTCTGCATGCAGCAGCAGCGGCCGCGGCAGCACGCTGCGCCACCCCGCACACCACAGGTGCACCACAGATGCGCACAGCGGCCGCCACCCACCACGTCGTCCACCAGGATGTTGAACTCTGTGGCGCGCTTCATCAGGCTGTCCCTCACCGCGGCCGACACCTGGTCGCGCTGCAGGGTGGGCATGCGGGGAGACAACAAGAGCGAATGAAGCGGCAGGTTGCGGCGGGCACCTGGGAAAGAGTGCCGGCCCGGGCTGCCTGCGCGCCTGCTCCTGCCTGCCTGCACCCGCGGTACCGGCTGCCGACTCGCCTGCGTGAGCAGCTGCTCCGCCTGGTACTGCGCCACCACCGCCTTGAGCACCTCGTTTCCGATGGAGGGCAGCACGCGCTCATCCCAGTCCGTGCCCAGGTTCTGCGGGGGCAGGGCGGTGGGCGGAGCAGACCACGACGCTCGGGTGAGGCCAGGCCAGGCAGCCGCGCAGCAGCTGGAGCCAGCCAGGCAATAGTCGTGCCGCGCCGAGCTGCTGCACGCTCACCCGGAAGATGCGGGGCAGCTGCTCCACGTCGGGCTTGGACAGCACACGCAGCGTGATGTTCACCATCTGCAGATCTGCGGCAACGGCAGGAGCAAGACGGGGGAGGGAGGTGGGCGCCGGAGGGCACCGGCATTCTTGCCACCATGCTGCATCAGCTGTCGGAGTGAAGGATTGCGCTCTGCCAGCCAATGCTGCCGCCCCATCCCGGACCCAGGCCTGAGCTCCGCAGTCGGCCGCCACCCACCCTTCGTGCCGGTGACGGAGGAGATGGAGCGGGGGCGGGTGCGGATGTCCATCACGTTTGGCGTCTGGAACCAGGGCACGCGGAAGTGTGTGCCCTCGCCAACGGGGTCGTCCAGCACACCCTGGATTCGGTCGTACATCACCGCACGCTCGCCGCCATCCACTGCAGAGAACATAGAGGCAGCCGGCAGGCAGGGGGTGGCGGCCGGGAGGCGGTGAGGCCGGCGGGCGGCGCCCATGGCACCAGGCGGCGGGACCCCAGCTGCCGCGCATCGCCCTGGCTGGCCCGCCATCGATTCCCTGCCCGTGCAGCGGGCGCTGCAGGTTGGGGTTGGCTGCCCAGAAGCATCGTGCACATGCCTGTGTAGAGGGAGGCCTGCACCGCGGAGCCGCCGATGCCAAGAATGACAGAGTATCTCGCGACCTTGCTGAGCAGGTTGGCGAGCGCTGCGGCGGCCTCCTTCTGGGCTGCCATGTTGCTGCCTCCGATATGGCACGCTCCACACGCCTGCCGCTCCTGTCAACAGTGTAGGATGTCGCAAGGAATGCAAAGCACTGGCTGCTGGTGCGGTAGGAGCCGCAGGAGCGCGAGAAGCGGAGGAAAACGCCCTGCCAGCAAGGCCCATCGAGTACTCGCGAGTTGCTCTCTCCTAGCGCCCATCTTCGTGTTTGTTTGCGATCGGCCAATATCTGCACTCGTTGCGCCCGCTTGGTGTCTGAATACACTGCCCACAACGCTCCACCACCGCAGTCTCTCCTCGCGGCAGCCCCAGTTTCGGCACGCATCGGGGCTCAAGTCGTGACGGTAGCCTGGGAGGCGGTGTCGGGCACGCTGGGCAGCGATGGTGAGCCCCATGAAAACAGGCAGCTCTCCTCCCAGCCTCCTCCTGGGCCCCTGCTGCCGCCCAGGAGAGCTGCCCCTGATCCATCCTGAGCGCCGCCTCCCCCCTCTGGCACGCAGGGCCAGACGCAGGGCAAGGCCCGCCCGCGCCACGCCGGCGGCCACAGCACCGACTATGATGACGGGCTGCACAGCTACGGCCGCGGCTCGCCGCCCGTGCCGGGCTCGCCACTCACCTACAGCCCGCAGGTGCCCATGGAGCCGATCCCCAAGGGAGAGGAGTATGGTCGCGGCGGCTCGGTGTACGGGCAGAGCGAGTTTGCGGGGTGAGCTGCCCCTGCCTGCCTGCCAGGGACGTGTGGCCGCCTGGCTAGCAATCGCCGGCCGGGGAGCCAGGAGCTGCGGGGTGCACCAGCAGGCTGCTGGGGGGAGGCCAGCCAGGCATGCACTCGAGCGGCTGTGCCACACGGTGCTGCTGCCGCAGGTGGGGCGCGCAGCCCAAGCTGGTGCCCACGGTGATTGTGTGGGCCCACGGCGGCAACCACGTGGAGCTGGAGGGCAGCTTCGACTCCTGGACGCAGCGCTACACCATGCAGCGGTCGGGCAAGGACTTCACGCTGGTCAAGCTGCTGCCGCCGGGCGTCTACCAGGTGCGGTGCGCCTGCGCGGAGGCTGCTGGATGTCCTATGAGCGTGTGTTCCGTGCGTGACAAGCGGGAGGGTCTGGTCTGGCGCCAGCTTGGCCCCACCACGCGTGCCCGTCTCGCCTCCGCCGCCCGCAGTACAAGTTCATCGTGGACGGCCAGTGGCGGCACGACCCCAACCTGACCTCCATGTACGACGACATGGGCAACATCAACAACGTGCTGGAGGTGCAGGTACGCTCAAGCGTACCGCAGGAGTGTGTGCGGGGGGGGGGGCGGCGGCGGCGGCGGTGGTGGTGGTGGTGGCGGTGGTGGCGGTGGTGGTGGTGGCGTTTGCGCAGGCGAGTGTGCAGTGTGCACACCCCTTTGCACACCCAGGGCGCCAAGGGGTGTGCACTCTGCACACTCACGACGCCCCATGCCATTGACAGGGGAGCGTGCCCCACCTGGCCTGCAGGAGTATGTGCCCGAGAACCTGGAGAGCCTGGTGGGCTTCGACCCGCCGCCCTCCCCGCCCAGCAGGCGAGCCACGTTGGGCCCGCACGCCGGCCTGCCGCCCCGCAGCTGCGGCGCTCGCCGCGTGCTGCCTCCGGCCGGAGCTTGTGTTGTGCGGCGCACGCGACCTACTGCCTCCACCTCCTCCACCTCCCCTACCCTGCCCTGCCTGCCCCCTCTTCCCGCCCACCCCTCTCTGCCCGCCTCTCCCTGCCCGCTTCCCCACTGCCCGCCTGCCTGCGCAGCTACGCCAGCCCTCCTCCCGCCACCGAGGACTTCCTCAAGGAGCCGCCCGTCATGCCGCCGCAGCTGCAGCTGTCGTTGCTCAACGTGCCGCCCGCCATGGACGCCATCGCCGCGTTGCCGCGCCCGCAGCACGTCATCCTCAACCACATCTACCTGCAGCGCATGACCACCAGCACGCAGGCCATGGTGGTGGGCACCACGCACCGGTACCGCTCCAAATACGTGACCACCGTCATGTGAGCCGTATCTCGGCCCTGCGGGCAGCATGCGCGGCTGCCCATCCGCGGCCGCCCAGGCAGCCGGAGCGCTCCCAGCATGGCGCGCCCTGCCGGCCCCTCAAAGCTCTTCCCTTGCTTACCTTGCCTGGCGGCCTCGCTTGCCTCCCTCTCCCTCCCTGCCACTCCGCAGGTACAAGCCCAAGAAGCGGGTGCCGCCCGCAGCGCAGGCGCAGCCAGCCAGCTCCGATGTCAGCATGCACGGCGCGGTGCACACGCCGCGGGCCAGCCAGGGCGGCACCTCGCAAACCAGCCCCATGGTGGGATGACGCGCTGAGCTCCTCCTGTGCCTATTTGCCCATTTCGTTGCTGCTGACCCTGCTGCCTTGCTCCTCACCCTTACCCACCCTAGCCCTCACTGCTGTGGGAGGGCCCAGCGTGTTGCCGGCTCCGCTAGGGAACTGAAACTGGGCACTGCCCCCGCAGTGAGGGCTAGGGTGGGTAAGGGTGAGGAGCAAGGCAGCAGGGTCAGCAGCAACGAAATGGGCAAATAGGCACAGGAGGAGCTCAGCGCGTCATCCCACCATGGGGCTGGTTTGCGAGGTGCCGCCCTGGCTGGCCCGCGGCGTGTGCACCGCGCCGTGCATGCTGACATCGGAGCTGGCTGGCTGCGCATGCGCTGCGA